TCATAATTAGAGCAAAGCTTTTGTTATTTTGAACCTTTCCAGTCTTAGACATTTCCATTTGGTTGGATTAAGTTATAGACCTTCTTAACCCCCTCTTGGACTTGTTTCTCATTGACAACTTGTGCTAAGAGTATGAAAAACAACAAAATGGAAACAACGAAAATAAACAAGCAAGATGAAAGGAAAAGAAAGAAAGAACCTCATGAAAAAAATAATGTGGTTGTTACTGACACCCACAAGAAAGTATGTCAGATGTTGGCCTTCAATCATTCCATATATTTGAAGGTTGTAACCACCTCCCTGGAGGGGTAACCAGGCCATTCGGGACTGGTGACCTCATTGACTGGTCAGACAGGGTACACTAGTCCTAATCTCTTACTCATCACTGCCTGTTTCTCATGGAATTCAGGCATGTGCTAAGTATGGTTCCCAACTTTACTCTTCTTATTCAGAATTATACCTCCTTATCTTTCTTTGAACTGGATCCTTTCCCACCCAAATAATACCATTTTTTAAAGTAAACAAAAAGTTATTCTTTTCTATCATTCAGTATTAAAATTACTATTTTTTTTAAAGATTTATTTATTTATTTATTTATTAGACAGAGACCATAAGTAGGCAGAGAGGCAGGCAGAGAGAGAGGCGGAAGCAGGCTCCCCGCTGAGCAGAGAGCCCGATGTGGGACTCGATCCCAGGACCCCGAGATCATGACCTGAGCCGAAGGCAGAGGCTTTAACCCCCTGAGCCACCCAGGCACCCCAATTACTATTGTTTTTTAAAGATTTTATTTATTTATCCGACAGAGAGAGACAAAGAGAGCACAAGTAGGGGGAGCAGCGGAGGGAGAGGGAGAAGCAGACTCCCCGCTGAGCAAGGAGCCCAACTCAAGGCTCCAACCCAGGACACTGGGATCACGGCCTGAGCTGAAGGCAGCTGCTTAACTAGCTGAGCCACCCAGGCCCCCCTAAAATTATTTTCTTAAAGATGGCTTAACAACCTAAACCCTCTTTATAATAAGGTTTATTTAGGGTATAAATTCAAAATTCCAAACATGTAAAGTTCAAATAAACTTTTAGAACACAACCCATTTTATCCAGGATAGCCCTTGTGCAATTAAAAAATTCTCTCTATGTGTCATAATGTATACCAACTAGCAGTGGTATTTGCCAGTAAGAATTTTTTGTTCATTTCTCTAAAGGAATGAGATATATAGCAGTTTCAACATATGCATTTACTTCATTTTAATTGTGAACAATTCTGTGGGCACCTGGCTGGCTCAGTTGGTAGAACATGCATCTCTTGATTTCAGGGTCATGAGTTCAAGCCCCATGTCAGATGTGGAGCCTATTTAAAAACAAAACAAAACATAAAACAACTATTAATTATGAATAATTCTGAATCTCTTATCAAGACCTTATAATTCTTTACCTACAAAGATGTACATACAAATGAAATGATTAAGTAAACATTCATAGGTTTAATCATGTATGGTTTCAAAATCAGAAATATGAGTATAAAGTTCCAAATATTTATTTCATAAAAATCCATTATTATGGAAGAAAATAATTGAACAGTGTATGACTACAGCAGAATGTAAGAGATATATAGAATTATAACTTTCATCACAAACATGGTCAGATCAGGCCAGATGAGTTCAGGAAAGACTAGAATCTTTTTTTTTTTTTTTTTTAAGATTTTATTTATTTATTTGACAGAGAGGGACTCAGTGAGAGAGGGAACACAACAGGGGAAGTGGGAAAGGGAGAAGCAGGCTTTCCGCTGAGCAGGGAGCCTAATGCAGGGCTTGTTCCCAGGACCCAGGGATCATGACCCCAGCCGAAGGCAGAAGCCCAGCAACTGAGTCACCCAGGCACCCTGGAAGACTAATCTTGCTATTTCAACCACACTGATCACTTTGTGGCTCTTTTCTTAAATGTCATTTCATCTCTGGCGATAAAGTGTGAATTAACAGAACTGTTCTAAAGACTAGGAGATGGGGTGCCTGGGTGGTTCAGTGGGTTGAGCCTCTGCCTTCTGCTTGGGTCATGATCTCGGGTACTGGGATTGAATCCCGAGTCAGGCTCTCTGCTCAGCAGGGAGCCTGCTCCCCACCCCCACCCGCCCCGCCTGCTTGTGATTTCTCTCTGTGTGTCAAACAAATAAAGTCTTTTAAAAAAAATAGCAATAATAAAGACTAGGAGATCTAGATCCTGAGTGATTGGGCAAGGTAAGACAGTTAAGTGACAGAATGGAAGAGAAAGTAGTTTTTCTAATTGCCACCTTAGTACTTCTTATTCTACATTGTATTACCTGTGCAGCTGCAAGGCAAACCATGTCATTGCCTCTCCTATTTTAAAAATAGCTTGTATAAAAGTCTCCTTTGTGGTCTGATGGCAAAATGCCTATCTTATTTTTTAAATGTCAGCTGTTGGAGTGCCTGGGTGGCTCAGTCGGTTAAGCAATTGCCTTTGGCTCAGGTCATGATCCCAAGGTCCTGGGGTCAAGCCCTTGTCTACTCCCTGCTTGGTGGGGAGCCTGCTTTCTCCCTCTCCCTCTACCTCCCACTCCCTCTGCTTGTGTTCCCTCTATCTCTTAGAATAAATGAATGGGATCTTTAAAAAAAAAAATGACAACTGCTGATCATCAATGACAAAATGTTTTTACACGTTCCTTAGGACTCAAGTTGTCCTTCATTTATTCAAATAATCATCACTTTCTAAGTTAGGTAAGAACAATCAGAAATCACTGAATGTTAAAGAAGAAGAGGCACCAGATACCATCTGTCAGTCATCTCATTGGAAAAACTAAGACCCAAAAGTCTTGTCAGAGTCACAGTGTGAGTTGGTGGGAGTCTCCTGTCTTCTAGTCCAGGGTTATTTATAACACATCTCACTGCCTCAGTGCATCAGTATTTTGATGTCATGGCATTATTGAGTGAATATTCTTGGGACCATCAGTCCTGGTCAATCTATCAGCTAGGGAAGTCTGTGTGCCATTTTACCTCTTCATTTTTCTCATCAACTTATTCAATACACTTTCATTTTGTTGCCTGGTGTTTTGGGAATGGGATAGTCAGAAAAAACAAGTAAAATGTTAAGTGGCAAATGTTTGAAATTTTTTTTAATATAAGTTAATCTTTTTTTTTTTTTTTTTAAGATTTTATTTATTTATTTGACACAAAGAAAGAGAGACAGCTAGAGAGGGAACACAACCAGGGGGAGTGGGAGAGGGAGAAGCAGGCTTCCTGCTGAGCAAGGGAGCCCCATGCACTCTGGATCCCAGGGCAGATGCCCAAGGACAGAGCCATTCAGGTGCTCCATTTTGAGTTTTTGTTGTTGTTGTTGTTGTTGTTTGTTTGTTTGTTTGAGAATATGTGCAGGAATGCTGGCTGGAATTTAGAAAAGTTGCAAAAAAATTGGTTGAAGATCAAGAAAGAGATATGGAATAAATGACCCAGGGAACTGATAACTTCCAATCTGCTGGGCACTTTTATGGAGCTTTCTCATTCCTCTTAACAACCCTTTAGATTAGGAGTTGTTAACCTCATTTTATTACTCATGAAGCAACTGAGGGTCCAAGAAGTTCTATACTTTACCCCACAGCCATACAAGTTGGTCAACTGGTAGAGCTAGATCCAATGTGGTCCATCTGGCTATGAAGCCTGTGTTCTCTTACTTCTACAGGAGAGGGTGTGTAAGGTGAACCAAGGAAGGTAACAACAACTGCCTTGTGACCTAGTGATAGTAATAATGACAGCATAGTGCTTTATGTCTGTGATCTCTGAATACGATTAAATGAGCCTATGGAATAGGACTGACAGGGTGTCTCCGTACTTTTCCTCAGTGAAACAGGAGAGGAAGATATGAGACTTAATACTTGAGATTTCCTTTGGCTTCCTCGTTTTCTGAAAAAGTATGGAAAGACTCAATTAGTTTTGTTTTGCAACATTTATCAGATTATGTTCTTTTTTTTTTTTTTTCCTTAGATTATTGTGTTCTTGATGTAGGTGGATAGGTTGGTGTGTGATTGTGTGAAATCAAACCTGGTATCTTCAGAAGAATTCTTCCAGCAGATAAGGATGCCTTTAGGTTCAATATCCAATTTTGTAATTAGTGACCACTGTTGACATTTACTGAATGGGAGTTTTTATCTGCACCAAGGTCTTTTTCCTTTGAAGCTAAATGACATATACACACTCATTTATGTTGACCTCCGCATGAATAAGCAAATTTGTATTCTGTGGAAAATCGGTCAGTTATTTTTACACATAAATAACCTCCAAATAAACCTCTGATGACTAATTTTTTGTTAGTCTGCAATTCCAGGTTAAGCTGTCGTCTCCGTTTTCTTATCTGGAAGGCAATGTCCAGTTCTGTAATCCTGTGAAATATAAAGCTGGTGTCCATTTACAAATAATCACTGTCTTCTAATGAATTAATCCTCAGTTGCAATTATCAGTTCGATGTAAACTTGGGTAAAGATGCAGTCCGTCTCCAAAACTGGATTCTCTGTATTTAAAAATGTCATTGTAATTCTCAACTCCCTAGAACTGTTACTACAAAAGAACTATTTATTTTGCCATTCAGCCTAAAAATAAAACCTTTCACCCAGATTACACACTTTTAATAGTCACATTGGTATCTAAATAATTTTAAACTAACTTGAAAGAATCCATTTCTAGGTGCAATGAGATTAGATAAGAGTTGGAACTGGGGCAGTTTGAAGAGGGTGATCTGAGAGCCCACCTCCCTGCTTGGAGACACCTCAAGAATTTCTAGACTCACAAGGGAGGTGAGGGAAGAGATTTTAAAAGCTGAACAGTGCCACTCTTTGCCAGCTCCTGCGGACGAAGGCCCAGCCGGCTGCGGCGAGGACCGCGAAGAGTTAACGAGGGACGGAGCCCCCCGCGCCGCGGACTCCCCGCGCGCTCCCTCCGCCCTCGTGTCCCCACCCTCTCGTTTTGGCAAGGGATTAAAGTGCTCCCCCCTGTGGCAGCAGTGACCCAGAAATGAGTTTGATTCACATAGCCCTTCCTCCATAACAAGCCAAACGCCCGTCCGAGAGTGCCTCCCTGCGCGAGTGCCGTGTGTGAGCGCGCCGGCGAGAGCAGGGGCCCGCCCGGCGCGGCCAGAACTCATGCAGCGCGGCGCGAGCGGCGTGGAGCCCAGCGCCTCCGCCGAACCCTTCCGCAGCAGGTACGCGCGCGGGCCGCGGGGGGCGCGCGGGGGGGGGCGCGCCGCGCCTGTGCCCGCGCGTGTCCGCGTGTGGGTCCGTGTGCGCGTCCCGGTACCGCGGCGGCGGCGGCGGCGGCGGCGGCGGCAGTGGCGGCGGCGGCGGCTGCAAGACGAGCCGAGAGGCTCAGCCATATTTGATGGTTTTGTTGCTTTGCTCGGGAGTTCTCGGGAGTAATTTAGTGCCGAAGGTCGCTGCCTAGTGGAAATAATATAGTACGTCATTAATATGGCGCCAAAAGATTGGGTTCTCGATATGTAGCGAGGAGGGAGGGCAGGCAGCCGCCGAGCGCAGCGTTACTATCCCACCAGTAACTTGGGCATTGCTGGGGCGGGGGCCAGAGGAGGAGGTGGAGATGATTTTTGGATCCTGAGAATTGATTTGTGTTGGATCAGTAAGTTTAATTATGATTAATTTTCAATTTTGGGGGGCTGAAGACTTAGAGCTTTTTTCTTCTTTCGGATTTGCGAAGAACATGCGGTTTTCAGGTGAATCACCATTTAAACGCGTTTGGTAACAGAAGCCCAGTTTAGTTGGCTTTAGTTGATACAATTTTTTAAAAAGCCAAAGCGCATTAGGCTGCATGAAAGTGGAAAGCATAGTAGCAACTTGGTAGACAGATGGCAATGGCAGAACGCAGGTCCGCGTACATATATGAATCCAGAGAGTGTGTGACCGTGGTGGCGGGGGGACGACTATATTTGTCCAAACATAGGTGTGTGTGTCTGTGTGTGTAGGTCCATCTCTGTAGGGTGGCCGCCGCAGCCCTGGCTCTTGTCACCGCGTCACCACATGTCCAAAATATTCTTTGCATCAATTCAAGGGCAGTGAGCAGGGGGTGTAGGGACAGCTTGGCAATTAGATTATTCCAAATTGGGTTTCCAATAATCAGATCTCTTACTTAAAGCGAGACTGTCTGTAAAGTGTAAAACCCTTCATCGGTGAAATTAGGAAGGAGTTGCATTCGTGGAGCAAAGTACCGATTAACCATGAACTTAAAAACGGATTGCAAATTGCAACCTTTGGCACCATCTGCAAATTGTGGGGGTGGGGTCGCTTGGGCTTCCCTGCCTTAAATGAACGTGCAGTGTGTACCCCGGGACTGCAAGTTGCAAAGCCCTTCAGTGCACGTGTCTGGTGCCTGTGAGTGTGTGTTTGTGAGTTGGGGGCTGTTGTTTGGTAGCCAGCAGGCTTTCCGGATTGTTGGCCCTGGCTTGCAAATGCGGGAGAGGGATGGAATGTGGAATGTTGACCAGGGAACCGAATCCTGTCGGAACGGTCCCATTTGCTGGAGAAATTCGATCCCTTCCACCTCCTTCCCGCTCCCCCCCGCCCGCCTGCGGGCAGGAGGCGGGGCCGAGGACGCGACTGCTGCTCAAAGTGGCGGAGCGCGGCGGCGGGAGGCAGGTGCACGGCACCCGCCAGTGGGGGTGTCTCAACTTCCGCGGGCGTTTAAATAGCAGGCTCTCTCCCCTCCCACCGGTAATAGGTGACCTGGCGGCCGAGGGTGGCGGGGGGAAGGGGACGGGGGAGACCCGGGAGCGAGCCTCCGTGGCACGTGGGCAGGTGCTGGGTGGCCCCGGGGCCAACTTTTGTAGCCCGCCTCTGGCGTTGGAGGAGAGGCTGCTCCATGTGGAAATGGGGGCGGGCGGCGGCCGCCGAGGTGCTGCTTTCTTGGCCGCGGCCGGAGCGTCACCTAACGGTCCCAGAGGCGCTGCCGCGGGGCCCGGGGTGGGGGGCTTCGGGGGCGGGGACGCCCGGCTCGCCGCGCCCGCGCCGCGGGAGCCCCGCACAAAGCCTGCGGCGCGGGGGCGTCCGCCGCGCCCCCGCCTAGGGAACGGCCCGAAGCCCGTCGCCGTCGCCGTCCCCGTGCCGATTCCGGCGGGCGGCCGCAGGCGTTTGTTTGTTGGTTCCGCGCCGCCTTCCTTGCCGGATGGCTTCCTGTGACAGAGGTGATACACAGTTTCCAGAACTGTCTGGGGGCGGGAGCGAGAGCGGGAGCCGAGCCCGCTCGGGGCTGCTCGCCGCCGCCGCCTCTCCCATCTCACAGCCGTTTCTTGCCGGCGCGCCCGCCCCAGCTCAAAGGTGCCGCCCGGGAGGGACTCGGGGAGGGGGACCGCGCGGCCGTTTCCAGCGGCGCAAGTGGCTTCTGGACGCGAGGGAGCGTTTGATTTGCAACTGGGGCCGAGCGGATTGGTGCAGCTGGCGGCGGCGGGGCGGGAGGAGCGGCGGCGGCGGCGCGGGCGGCGGGGGGTGGCCACTTTCAAACGGAGAGGGCGGCGGCGGGGACGCCGCTGCGGAGGGAGCGGGGCTTGGTTGCGCCACGAGAAGGTGTCATCACTGCACCGGGGCTAATTCCGGCGGAGGTGCCGGGAGTTACTTTCCCCTCCTTCCGCGCTGTTGTTTCTGTCGCCTCGGGAAGAGGAGGAGGAGAGGGAGGAGAGGCAGGCAGGGAGCGAGGGGGCGGCGCCGCGCTGAGCCGCGGCCCTGCGCACACCCTGGCGGGAGGCGGGAGGCGGGAGCCATGCGAAGCGTTCTCTGGTGCGGGGCGGTGGCCCGGCTCCCCCCACCCCCGACCCACCCCGGGATTTCTCCCCCTCCTCTCCAGCCTTCTTCCCCACAGCGCACCCTGCACTCCTCCCTCCCATACGGGATCGGCGACCCAGGGTCCTCCACCCCCGCCTCTCGCCCCGGTTCTCCCCTACTCCAACCCCTCCCCCCACCCACCGGGCTCCGGGCTTCCCGACCCTGGGCTCCCCCTCTCGGGCGCGCGGGGGCGGCTGCAGCCCCGGCACCCGGTGAATGCAGCGAGCAAACAAAAAAGCGGGCGATTTAAACGTGCCTTCGAAACCCGTTAGGAATGCGTCGTCACCCGGAGACCGTTTAAAAGCTGCTGTGGCTGGCTTTCTAGTAATGAGGAGACAGGCGCCCCACCTCGCTTCGGCGGGGGCGAGGGTCAGCCGTCCTCAGTGTAGTCCGTCCAAGAGGGAATTGAAATTTTCTTTTCGTAAAACGATAGCTGCAACTGAATGATACGACAGCAACATTTTTAGGGAAGTGGGAGAAAATCTGAGGTTTCCATTAATAAGGAATGCTTAGGGGCTTATTTCCCAAAGATTTTTATTAGGTGAACTATTTTTCCGTTTTAGGAAACCCACTGTGAAAGAAAGCCTTGCTCTTTAGTTACTTGTAGTTCAAGGATTTCATTATCTTTCAAAGCTGATGAGCTATTTCTGTAGTTCTAAGGTACAGGGAAATTATTTCACTGAAAGCTGGTTTAATAGTGGTCCACAATGGTTAGAGATTACTACAGGAAGTTGCATTTTGATCAGATCACAGCTGATCAAGATTACTAACTTCTAGGTAAAGGAAGAGTACTATATAACCATACTTTGACAGATTTAACACTTTAGGTACAGTAATTGGAGTAAAGTGGGTAATACATGTTGGGGGAGAGAGAGGGTGTTTTAGGGGTGACACTTAATAACAAAGATCTGCAACCCGGAATTTTATTACTTTTTTATTCCAAATATTTTGGTCTAATTTAATGTCCCTTTTAAATTAGATGACTTCCTGATTAGTATTTTGCTTTTCTTAAGTTTGTGTATTTTTATATTTGTATATGAATTGTCATCTTTGATGTCTGCAACAAGTAAAATTTTCAATTATGTGTTCATTTTCCCCATATCTCCCTTCATTTTTATGCTAGCCAGACAAAAGGGAGTTGCCTGGTAGGCTGTAGACCTTGAACTTGATTCCATCTTAAGCTCAAGATCGGAAGCTGCTTTTTTGTAAGAAAAGTTGGATGGGCTGCCTCAGAAATTTTAACTATGACAAAACTAGGTGTATGTTCATTTAAAAGGAGAAAAAAAAGTCTATCTAATTAGTTCCTCCTTCCTCCCCTTAACAGGTTTTAGCCTATAATGAGCGGTTTAGCCTTATATTAGTTACTAAGGTTGAAAGAATAGCTGTAAGGAGAAAATTGAAAAATGGTAAGTGTGCTTGAGAATGAGAGGAGAGGAAAAAACTCTTAGGAGTTTAAGGAAATGTTACATTTTAAAGGGACTGTTGCTTAGTTCAGAGGCTTGGGGGGAAAGATTAGCCAAAAACTTGGAGAACTTGGAATGAAAGCAGATCTGCATGTGAATTGTCTATAGTAGGCATTTAATAAATACAGATTTTTGACTTTTAGGAGCCCTTAGTGACTTAAAGTATTATTACAGAGGTGGTGTTACATGTGTGTTGTTGGAAATCAGAAAATACAGAGAAGCAAATATAATAACACATTCCTACTATCCAGAGATCACTGCTGATCACCACTGTATCACTTTGTAGATGACTGTCTATGCTTATATATTTAGTCTTAAATCAAAATGAGATCATACTATACATACAGTTCTATAAAGATTTTTTTTCCTCTCCCTTGTCTGCCAGCTTGGTAAATTTTCATCTCATCTATGACTGGGATATATTCAGATATCCTCAATTGGCCCTAAAATATAGTGGCAGCTTTGTCTAAATTAATACTGTCCAGCCTGAGGATCAATTATTGCATCTGGTGATTATTTCCCATAAGTAGATTTTAATCTGTAGTTACTTTTTGACAGAACATCTGACATTGTGTAATCAAGCCTTTGGAATTAATCATGACTGGATTTTTAAAAAGTTAAAAATGAAAATAGCATTTTATTGTAACTTGGGATTACATTTGGAAATTTCTTGTTTGAAAAATACTTTAAAGAAATTTGCCTGACGTTTTTATCTGGAGGCTTGTTGGGAAAAGAATTATCAACTGTTTGTTTCAGTACTGAGGTGGTTGGAACAGCAAACATCAAGATCTCAAACTGATCATGTCCTGTATCTACGATTTGTGAGGAGTAGGAAAAAGGCGTATGAACCTCCCTTTGCTTACTTCCTGTTGTGAAGCTCTTGGCTTCTTTGGTATTGTGGGACACCCATTATA